TGCACCCAGGCAGGTGGGTGGCAGGAGCACCTCTGGACTTGTCACACGCTGGCGGCACCTGGTGTTCAGATCGTAAGTCCAGGAGGTCAATGTGCAGCTGAGGTGTCCTTTGTGCACCCAGGCAGGTGGGTGGCAGGAGCACCTCTGGACTTGTCACACGCTGGCGGCACCTGTTGTTCAGATCGTAAGTCCAGGAGGTCAATGTGCAGCTGAGGTGTCCTTTGTGACTAATTCCCCTCCTCAGCTCTGGCCCAGTGGGAAGGGACAGGGGCACTGAGCACTGACCTTTGTGCCCACTGCAGGCTGGACTGCGCCAGATTTGGGAGCAGGACCAGCTCAGTGTCACAGGGAAGTGAACCTTTCAGTGGTAAAACATGGCTGACATTTAATGAGCACTTACTATGTGCCAGACACTGTTCCAAGCATTACACAGATCATCTCACTGAATCCTCACGGCCTAGGAGGCAGGTACTATGTCCCACTGAGGCAACCAAGGCTCAGAGAGGTCACAATACTTGCCCAAGGCCACACGGGCAGTAAGTGGTGGAGTCTGGACATAAACCCAGGGAGCCGGAATCCAGAGCCTGCACTCAGCGACTACTGAGAGATGGCACGGGCTGCTCCAGGAAGGAGTGAGCTCCTGGACACTGGAGGCAACCATTGGTTATGTGGGAACCACAGCAAGGTAATGGGGTCTGGTAAAAGGGGTGCCAGCATCAGAGGCCTTTTAGCTGCTTTCAGCCCCATGAGACAACAAGCCACATGTAGTGTCTAAAAACATGAAGACATGATAAATCAGAGTTAGCACAGTTGTGGTCTATTCTGATGGCTTTCATGTTTACAAATAACTGGAATCCACCTACGTGTTGGGCACTGTGCTCATGGATGGGAGCCAACAGTGTGATAGGATGAGCGTTATTTCATAGTCATTGAGGGTGGTGAGGCCCAGGAGAGGGACCCAAGCTGACTATGGTGTGTCGTCTTCTCAGTGGATGCCTTCCTGTGACTGTGCATGCTATCACACTTGGACATGCCTCCTGGGCACCACCATCCTCCTCCATCCCCTGCTGAGAGGGATCCTAGAGCCTCAGGTCCTGAGATTCTGCACAAGCCCACTGCTCCTGCCTAGGGAGTATGGCTGGGGGTGGGGAGAGCTGGAATCAGACCTCGGGCTGGCCCCACCCCATCATCCTCTTCTGGACCACCTGGCGACCCTCAGCAGGCTGGGTCTCACTCTGCCACTCTCAGTAGAGGAGTGAGCATTCTATACTACATTCCCTGCTTTAGTTCAAATCAGGAAAACAATATTATTATTAATAATAATAATAACTGCGACTATTTTCCAGTGCTTGCTTTGTGCTAGGCTCTATACTACTCACTTCACAAGCAGCATCTCATTTAACATACCTAACAATCCATTATTCAGAGGAGAAACTGAGGCTCAGGGCTTTGAATGGCCAGACTAAGGTGGCACAGGGTGGCAGTGGTGAGACACGAAGCATGTTTACAATTAAACCCTTCAATGCAGGGCCCTGCCCATACCAGCCACCTGCCCAGAGGCTCTCAAGGGCCCTGTCTTCCTGGGTGCACCTGGATAAAAGATCTACATCTTAGCTCGTTGCCCCATCTGCAGCCCTGGATGGTCCCAGTTCAGTGTCTGGTGCTCTGAGATGGTGTCAGGGTTAGAGGCAGATGTGAGGATGGGGCGCTCTCTCCATTGGGGCAGTCAGGAGAGACATGAACTTTGCCCCCCAAATCTGGCACAGACGCTGAGCTGCCAGCAGGGCCTCTGAGGCATCTGTCCTGGGCTCAGGGTCGTCCCTTGGCTGCGTTTCTCCCACAGCTCTTGTCCCCGCCTTCTACACTGGGTGGGATACGAGCACAGGACAGCTGCTTCTGACTGTGCCTAAGCTCCAGATTGCTGTCAGCTTCCACGTAGGCTTAGGGTAACTAAAGTCCAAGAGGATTCCTGGGAATGTGTCACCTTCCAGCGTGGAGTCACACTGGGGGAGGGAGGTGGGGAGGGCAGCCTGGTGAGGTTTAAATGGCTGGTGGCTCTGAGTTTCAGTCAGTTCACACAGCAGCACAGGTGAGCTGCCCGAGGACCTCTCTTCCACTCCCTCTGATTCCAGGAATAATTCAGCTTGGCACGAGACTCCTGAAGCCCAGCAAAGAGCCCAGGATGTTCCTGAAGGCTGTAGTCCTGACCCTGGCCCTGGTGGCTGTCACCAGTGAGTAGAAGCTGTCTTTGGATGGGGCTCTCAGGCTGCTGCAGTGCGTGGGGCAGGGTGGAGAGGCTGCACCAAGGCAAGAGGGCAGTTCTGAGTGCCCATTGTCAGCCCCCAGCTGCACCCAGTTGCCACCTGGCTCACAGGAGAGCTGACCTATTCCTAGTGGTGGGCCCACTGGCACTGGTGCTATGCCAGTTTCACATGTCCTTGTGGTTTCCAACCAGCCAAGCCCAGAGAGGGAAAATGGGGGGTTGGGCTCCTCACCGTCATCCAGTCTGCAGCTCAGAGCTGGTGCAGAGGGGTGAGGAAGGAGACGAGTCCTCAGCAGTTGCTCTCTGCTCCCTGCCCAGGTGCCCGGGCTGAGGTCAATGCTGACCAGGTGGCCACTGTGGTGTGGGACTACTTCAGCCAGCTGAGCAACAATGCCAAGGAGGCTGTGGAAAATCTCCAGAAGACTGAACTCACCCAGAAACTCAAGTAAGAGGGGCTACGTCTTGCAGAGTGGTGCTTCTTAAAGACCATGCAATGCATTGGCAAGGGCTCAGCTTAGAAGCAGGAGACCTGAGTTTAGGATACCCACTGTCCTGCCACTAACCCACTGAGTGACCTGAGGTCTCTGGATCTAGCTACCACATACGTAAACAGGGAGGTTGGACTGAATAATCCCTAAGGTGTCTTGCTGCTTTAACATTCTAGAGTTTGACAAATGGCCACATCCTGTCATTGAAGCTCATGGGAGAAAGAGAGGGAGGAAAATGTCGTGTGAGCTGGGTCTTATACATCCCAGGACAAGCCCCAACGAAATCAGGGGAAGGGAAGTGGGGATATTTGGGAAGCCTCTAGAAACAAGCAAGGACTTCAGCACCTCGTTCCGCTAGGAGACACAGAGGTGGAGAATGCAACATTCTGTTACACAGTGTGATCTTAGGTCCCAGCACACCAAGCTGGGAAGGACCTAAATGACCAACCCTATACTTTACAGACAAGGAGGGGAAAGAAAGCAAACTGCTTGAGGTCATGTGATAAGCAGATACTGAGACTAAAAATCAGAGTGAGATCCAGAGATACAAATGCAAGGTAACAATTTAGTCCACTATATCCAATCTCTCAAATCCTAAAGTCATGTGATAAGCAGATACTGAGACTAAAAATCAGAGTGAGATCCAGAGATACAAATGCAATGTAACAATTTAGTCCACTATATCCAATCTCTCAAATCCTAAGCCACCATAGGGAGGGCCACAAGGGACAAGATGGGTGAACTGTGTACCCTGAACACTCACCTGTCCTGGGCAGGTGTGTATAAGGTGAGTAGTATGCAAGTGGACAGAGTCCTGCCGTGTAATGCCAAGTGTAACGGTGCCCCCCTTTACCCTTCCCCGGCAGCGCCCTCTTCCAGGACAAACTTGAGGACGTGAACACATACGCGAGTGACCTGCAGAAGAAGCTGGTGCCCTTCGCCACGGAGCTGCATGAACGCCTGACCAAGGACTCGGAGAAACTTAAGGAGGAGATTCGGAAGGAGCTGGAGGAGCTGCGGGCCCGGCTGCAGCCTCACGCCCACGAGGTGAGCCAGAAGATCGGGGACAACATGCGCGACCTGCAGCAGCGCCTGGGGCCCTACGTGGACGAGCTGCGCACCCAGGTCAGCGCGCAGGCCGAGCAGCTGCAGCGCCAGCTGGCGCCCTATGCGCGGCGCGTGGAGGACGTGCTGCGTGAGAACGTGGACAGCCTGCAGACCTCCCTGGCGCCCTACGCCGACGACCTCAAGGCCAAGGTTGACCAGCACGTGGAGGAGCTCAAAAGGCGCCTCACGCCCTACGCCGAGGAGCTCAAGGTCAAGATCGACCAGAACGTGGAGGAGCTGCGCCGCAGCCTGGCTCCCTATGCTCAGGACGTCCAGGAGAAGCTCAGCCACCAGCTCGAGGGCCTGGCCTTCCAGATGAAGAAGAATGCCGACGAGCTCAAGGCCAAGATCTCGGCCAACGCTGACGAGCTGCGGCGGAAACTGATGCCGGTGGCAGAGGACGTGCACGGCAAGCTGAGGGGCCACGCCGAGGGGCTGCAGCAGTCGCTGGCGGAGCTGAGCGGCCACCTGGACCGGCAGGTGGAGGAGTTTCGCCGCAAGGCGGAGCCTCACGGGGAGACCTTCAACAAGGCTCTGATGGAGCAGATGGAAGAGCTCAGGCAGAAGCTGGGCCCCTACGTGGGGGATGTGGAAGGCCACTTGAGCTTCTTGGAGAAGGACCTGAGAGACAAGGTCAGCTCCTTCTTCAGCACCCTGGAGGAGAAAGAGAGCCAGAACAAGCCCCTTGCCCTCCCCGAGCAGGAGCAGGAGCAGGCACAGGGGCAGATGCCAGCCCCCATGGAGAGCTGAGCTGCCTCTGGTGCTCTCGTCCCACCGCTGCAGACACATGCCCTGCCCCGCCACTTGTTTGTCTGTCTGTCCCAAAGCAATTCTTCTATAAGCTTGAGGACACATGTCCAGTGGGAGGTGACACCACCTCTCCCTACTCAATAAAGCCTCTGGGAAACTAGCCCTGTCTGCTTGCCATGGTGACTCTTTGTTGTGGCTGGGCCTGAGGTGGGGAGGAGACCACCTCTTGGCAAAGCATAGTGGTAGCCTAGCATGGGACACTTTGGGGGACATGGAGGGCTGGGGAGATGAGACTGAAGGAGGGGTAAGGGCAGGGTATGCTGCAGAGGGGTGTGTAGGGAGTGCTGTAAGGGGAGGTGGAAAAAGATGTGTCACATTATCTGAAGACAAAATATGCAACCCACTTATTTTCATTTAGCCAACAAATATTTATTGAATGTCCTCAATGTGCTGGTCATTGTTCTAGGCTGGTACAATGACCCAGACAGTGAGCAAACAGCTTTTATGGTGCCATGGGCGCCGTGTGCCTCATGCTGTGCTTCGTGCTGAAGGGGCACCTGGAGGCGAGCAGGACATGGCCTCTGGCCTTGGAAAGCCACAGCACAGTGGGGAGAACGTCCGTCTCTGCATATGATCTTCTGTGCCTTTATTGTGATTTATCTATGTAAAGTTTAGTTTAACCTACCCCAACCCCATTGTAAGAGTGATGTGTGCTTACTTCTGAGATTTCTTGACTATTAAACCCCTGGTCTTCAGAGTTGAGGAATGAGGCTGGGGACGTGGACGAGTCTGGGGAGGAGGGGTGCATGATGCAGGAGCCTTTATGGCCCTGGTATGTTCTGCCCAGGAGCCTCTGACAAGTGGCCTGCCTGTCTAGGGCTGAGGTTGCAGCCACTGGGGTGAGTGGCAGAGAGTTCGGGGGGCCTGAGTGGTCTCATCAGCACAGCCAGCTGTGGGCGGGTGCAGCCTCTGGAGAGGGCTCTCCCCCACCCTTGGAGACTCACAGACTTTCCCAAGGAGGGAGCCTCAAAAAAGAGCCAGTTCAAGCCTTTGTCCTAAAAGACTCAACATCTCGGCTGTTACCTCTGATCCCAGATCTGCATGTCCAGCCCATCATCCCTTTCCCCCCTGGAGTGGGGTGTGGGCCTTTCAGGGCTTTCCTGGAAGAAGCATGGAACATGCTTGGGGTGGTGGGAGTGGTGGTGGGGGGGAGAGCAGGCCCTGGGAGGGTGTTCTGCCCCCGCCCCCAACCCAAGGTGCTCTTAGGGAGTGTGGTGGGGGGGGAGAGCAAGCCCTGGGAGGGTGTTCTGCCCCCGCCCCCAACCCAAGGTGCTCTTAGGGAGTGTGGTGGGGGGGGAGAGCAAGCCCTGGGAGGGTGTTCTGCCCCCGCCCCCAACCCAAGGTGCTCTTAGGGAGTGTGGTGGGGGGGGAGAGCAAGCCCTGGGAGGGTGTTCTGCCCCCGCCCCCAACCCAAGGTGCTCTTAGGGAGTGTGGTGGGGGGGGAGAGCAAGCCCTGGGAGGGTGTTCTGCCCCCGCCCCCAACCCAAGGTGCTCTTAGGGAGTGTGGTGGGGGGGGAGAGCAAGCCCTGGGAGGGTGTTCTGCCCCCGCCCCCAACTCAAGGTGCTCTTAGGGAGTGTGGTGGCCCCACAGGCATGGTCTGGCCCAGGCCTATCCCACTCTGGCCCCTGGTGTAAGAAGGCTGGTGTGGCCACCTCCACACCTGGCCTACTAGAAGGGCAGGAACCTACAGGTGAAAACGCCTTGATAAACCTGCCAGGCACCTGGAGGTTTACTGGCTGGCTTTAGGAAGGAACCAAACAGAGCAATGAGGTGCTAAAAGGAAGTGGGACAGAGGGCGGGTAGGTTTCCGAGTGGGTTGGAAGCTTCCGAGATGCTCTCAGATCTCACCTGAGGGTTTCCTGGTTGATCACTGCCTCCAGGACCCCTCGGTGCCTCAGAGTCTCCCAAGCTTGGTTCTTAGTATGAATCCTGGATGAGACTCCCGGGTCTTTCCCACTGCCTCCCAGGGCCATCCTGCAATTTCTGATGGTCCAGCCATAGTCCTAGTCTCCCTAGATCAGGAATGCCTTCTCTCTCCTGCACCAAGATTTCCCATCTGGTGTTCAGTCTCCTGGATCACTGACCCGGCAGATGTCACCTGCTTTCAGCTGCTGCAATGAACTGAATGTTTGTGTCCCCCCCCACCCAAATTGTATGTTAAAAGCTTAGCCCTGAAGGTGGTGGGAGGTGATCCAAGTCATGAGAGCTCTGCTGTCATGAATGGGATTACTGCGCTTATTAAAGAAAGGGACTTCAGGGAGATTCCCTCGCCCCTTCCACATGTGAGGGCACAGCAAGAAGGTGCCATCTATGAACCAAGAAAAGGGTCCTCACCGGGCACTGAATTTGCCAGTGCCTTGATCTTGGACTTCCCAGCCTCCAGGACTGTGAGAAATAAATGTCTTCTTTATAAGCCACCCAGTTTATGGAATTCTGTTTTAGCAGCCTGAATGGACTAAGACAACTGCCCAGGCTCTGAACCTCCCTTGCTTTGCTTGGGGAATTTCTCAGTGATGAGTTTTGATGGGAATCAGGGGCTGCCTCCCACTGTAGACTCTAAAAATGTCAGCCTCTTACCTTACAGCCTCCCTTGCCTGGAGCGTGTGACATGGGCCTCTGCTCAGCAAATCAGATGTAACTGCCCCAGACTGCTGTAAAGAAACAGGGATAGCAGAGAATCCTTGCTGGATGAGCAGAGACAGCAGGACAGCAGTAGCCAGTTTGCAGCCGGGCTAGAGGCTCAGTACAGGGGCCACTCCTGGTGGTGGCTGCTGAGCAAGCTGTCTTGTCCTGCCTCAGTGGTGGCAGCATGGCTATCCCCACCAGTCTAGTTTTGTGGAGTGACCATGGCCATGTTTCTCCCTCAGCTTCCCTTCTTGTCTATTTTCCAACTAAGTAGTCCAGCTTTCCAGAAATTTCCTCAAAATTCCTGGAAGTATTTCAATACATTCATCTTCTGCTTATACCTTCCACAGCAGTTTTCTGTGGCTAGCAATTAAAAACCTTGGTTGGCATGCCCCTGCTCTCCTTGGCTTCTCTTGGTTTGTTTGGTCACACTGTCATTTCTGAGCTGTTCTAGTCGGTCCCTTTGGTTTGTCTGAGTTACTAGTCCCTTGTTACTAGTCCTCATTCGAGTCGGTTCCATCTTTCAAGGAAGGCAGACTTCCTCTTCTGTTCTAAGCTAGTATATCGACTTAGTCTCTTGTGACCCAGTCAACCCAGGGGTTGGGGTCTCTAGCAGCTGAGATGATTGGACAACTGGGGATCGGGAAATGACCATGCTGTTCCCAGCTTGGGCAACCAGCTCTATCTGCCCTTTTCAGAGATTTGCTGGTCTCAGATCTCCCATGAAGTCATGAGTTCAAGAAAATCTCTCTGATTTGGTTTGGGTTATCTGTTTATTTATGGGAAGATGTCCAAGATATTTTAAGAAAAAAAAAAAAAAAAGCAAGGTCCTGACTATTATGTACTACACAACCATGTTAAGAAACACACATGCGTACTTGTATGTGAATGTGCAAGGAGGTGAAAAGTCTGTTAGTTCAACAGCTAGACCTAGAGTACATCTTCGGAGGAGAATTTTATGTGACAGTCCATGCTAGCTGCTGAAGAGGAACCAGCTGGAAAGAGGCCAGGAGGCAGAGAGATAGCTTCATGTGCTCCGTGTGTCCCCTGCACACGCATTAGAGGTGGTAATGGAGAGTGGAAAAGGAGGGGAGGGAAAACAGGGAATAAAAGAGGAGGCAAAAACCCCCTCCTGCCAAAAATCATGGTCAATGAGAAAGGTCCTGCAGCAAGGATTGTAGAACTCTTAAATACAGGGATGGCGATAAAGCTGACATTCAATGCTCACTAGTGTTAGGTGCTCCTAAAAAACACGTGTGTGTACCTGTATCAGTCCATTTATGCTGCTTATAACTAAATCTTGGAAATGGGTGATTTATAAAGAAAAATGACATTTATTGCTTACAGTTTCTGAGACTGGGAAGTCCAAAGTCCGTCTGGTGGTGGCGACAGTGACTCAGGGGTGTTACATTGCAAGATGGTGGAAGCAGAGAGAGTGAGAAAGAGAAAGACAGACTCTCCTCTCCTTTTAAAGCCCTCAGAACCACACCCCTGACCACCATTTTTAATCCATTCACTACTGCAGGGTCCTACAATCCAATCTCCTCTTCAAGGCTCCACCTTTCAATTACCATAATAGGATTTCCCACCCTCCTAACAGTCATGGTGGGAGCTAAGTTTCTAATACATCAAACTTGGGGGACACAATTCAAGCTTCCATGAGTTTTGGGGGGACATAATTCAATCCACTA